CCCCCCCCCCCCGCTTTTCGTTTTTTCCATCCGCCTAGACTTTGCTCGTCATTCCATTAACTTGGAGTTGGCGTTTTTCCGGATGCGCGAATCTAATTCCAAGGGCGGGGGATTGGTCGGCGTGTGTGGGTGTCGGTGTGTGCGCCTGATGCATCAAAAGACAGGATTCAACGAGGTAAACATTCGACGTTTGAATTAGGGGCGTTGTGCCAACCACTCGATGAGCCGTCAGTGTTTTCAGGACTGTTTTAAATTTCTTGAGGGGAGAAAAAAGTTCTCATTCGCAGGGACGTGGCACTGATTTGCGGGGATGTAGCACTGGTTTTTGGGAATTTATGAAGTTCGGTGATTTTTTGGGTGGCTCTTGGCTGATTCAGGGATCCCCATCAATATTAAATTTCTGCGATATTACGGGGATTTCACCCTTAGATTATTGAAGGTTTAAAATATGTGGGTTCAATTTTTCAAGTGATATAATATTAATCATCTGATTTTTTACGAATAATGATGTATTTAAAATTTTTTAATATGAAACTGTAAAGTTACTACTAAGTGATAATTCAAAGTTCTGGAAAGGGGATTTTCGATTAGACAAGGAATCGTCAATCTTCCTAACTCAAATTATTGATTGATAAAATAGTTGAAAATTTGAATATTTGAATTGATGATACTTAAGTACTCACAAAATTTCAAGAGTGATGTTATCTAATTAAGGGCTACAATAGTAACCGTAATAATATATTACAAATTTGGCTGTCCTCGGCTGAGTTTCCGAAGAATATTTTTGAATCTGAGAGAGATAGCAAAATTTTTATGATCACCTTTTTTGGAGATCTTGGTTTGGCTTAGCAAAAAGGTTATGACGAAAATTTTGATGTTTGCCTTAGATTCCGAGATATTTTTGGTGATGTTATCAGCAATTTTCAGGGATCGTCACTAATTTTCATCATCCAGAAAAATGATTTATTTGAATTAAATAAACTTCATTTGAATTTAGTAAATCCGCTATTAGAATCAAATAAACGAGTTATTTGATTTAAATAAAATTTATTTAACCCAAGTAAACGATTTTATTACGCACAGAGAAATTCTCCTGAAAAATTCTAGTGCCGGAAGTGGAAATTTTATTGAGTAGCACGTGAATTTTTCCCGTTGTTATATGAAATTTTCACAGAAATTTTATCAAAAATCTCTACAAATTTCACCTCAACACCAATTTTTTTTCGTGTGCGTGCAGGAATTTATTTTCAATTATTAGTAATTCGCGATTGTAAAATTCAATAAGTGCAAAATTATAAAAAATTCCCAACAAAAATATTTCCTAAAATCTAGTCATCGTGCAGTGTATTGGCAATTTCAGGAATATCATTACAAATGAGTTTAATAAAATGCAATAATTCTAGTAAAAAATATGTTTCTCGTCGAAAATTGTTGGGACTTTGAAAAACAGAAAAAAAATGTCACTCCACGTAGTATTTCCAGCGAAAACCTGAAGATTGAAAGACTCAACTGAAACTCTATTGAAAACCCAAACAAAAATGTCCACCGCTGAATTTTTTTTCATTCCAAACGTGTCACATTTTTTTCTATTATTGCTCCGAGAAAACCTCACGTCCCAAGCATTAACTCTACTCCTAAAGTTTCGATGGGTCTTCATCCCCTACCGCTGTATTTAGTGGAAGTGCTTCAAGTAGTTTCTAAAACCTCCTCTTTTTATTTTTCAAATGACTCATAAAGAGATTAAAAATTGTGGGGAACAATTGCAGTCAATTGTTATCTCATGGAGTGGGCCTGCGTACTTTTTCCACTACTGATGATGAGGCGCGGCGAGGGAGGGCGGGGGTTTAATCACGCTATGGAGCAGTCAAACGTGACGGAAGTTTACCCTTGGTAAATTTTGGGATGAAATGGCAGGGAGCTTTTATTTAAATCACCGAAAAAGCTTGCCCTCACTTACTCGTTAGTATTTGAAAAGCATCCCCACAACTGGTGAATGTAAACTCTGCATTTTCCAAACAGGTGTAGGACAAATTTGTTGGATAAAAAGTTGGAAAGCCGTTTGCTCCAGTTGTTCGACTGCTCAATTGCGGGAAAGCATAATTACACTATTTTGCTTTTTTCACTCTGCGAAACCAGTTACATTCTCGGAAATGTAAGATAATAATTCAGAAAATTGATTTTATCTTGAAAAATATGAAAAAAACATTTCTTTGCAGGTGAAAAGTTTATATTTATGTTTAGTTTAAATTTATGACAAATTTATTGGATTAAAAGGTGAACAGAATTTTGCGCCAATTATTCCAATGTCCAATTCCTGTGGAAAATGTTTCAATTGAAAAATTTTACAGAAAACTGAAATTCTAATGATTTCTTCTATAAAAATCATTACTCTTGGACCTTTTTTTATTCAAAAAAACACGGAATTTCTCAATATAATCAGCAAAAAACCAACATAAGTTTGAAAAATTAGAAAAAAAAAGTGCAAAAATAATATAAAATAATAAAAAAAATATATTTATAATTTATAATGAATTACATTAATTATAAAATTTCACAAGTTATAAAATTTTTTCGTGGGCGACTCAACCCGCAAATGTTTTCTTGCACTGCAGATTTTTCCCTCAAAATCACGAGATTAATTCACCAATTAAGTACGTGAACACGCCTATCTCGATTGCCGAGGCCGATAGCAATTGGATTTGGGTACTTGAGCGATCCTCTACCAGTCCCTGGCAATGTCACTCATCGAAATATGTCGAGGCCCCGATTTGTGCGCGTCACATGTCAAGACACGCATCGCTGGTTAATTATAAAACGTCCCATCGGTGTGTATGCGTATTCTACAGTCGAATCAACATGTGGATCTGACAAAATTCTGGATTTACTCGAATATCAAGTAATCAGAACAATTAATATTTCGTGTTTTTCATTTTTCAACGAGACGTTTTCAACGATTCTCGCATTCAATTTATACTTTCATTTTGAAAATCAATTAGAGGAGGGTAATTAGAGTTTAATTGAGTGTGGAGTTGAGGTACTGTAAATATTAATTGACAATATGTTGATGGAATATTATGTATGTCCGTTTGAAAGAAATGTTTCTTCATCTGGGATTAATTCATTCTGCAGTGAATTCAATAATTATTGGGAGAATTTTTTTTAAGTGAAGTAATAGCTGCATTAATTATTTATTATTATTATTATTATTATTATTATTATCTTTGAATTTAATTCAAGACGCAATTGTTCTTCAAATTTATTATCCATTTTCAAAATACAAAAACATTGTGTTTTTCATGTTCACATTCAATTGCATTTGCAAAATATTAAAAATTCCGAATAATATTCGTCTGAATCATGCCAATTATCCATAATTTTCTTCATCATATCGACCAGAAAATTGCAAATTCATATAATCTTTCAGAAATTATCAGATTTTGAATAAATCAAATAAATACATTTGTATTTCTTGTAACTTAAATTTCCTTTTTCTTCGGATTTTTATTTGCATCAAATATTTTAGAAATATAAACAATTATTTATTTGATCTCAGTGGAGATTTCGTTAGTTATAAATCCTTAATTAAAATTAATTAATCATTGATCTCATACAATTAAACATTTTCATTGAAATAAACCCATGAGTCGATCAATTCCCTCCCAGAACATTGTTGCAACGAATAAAAAACCCCACACGGAGAGAAATATTCAATAAAAATTCCGTATCTTTTCCGTAAGTCCGGAGCGAAATGCGGTTTTCGGAAATTTTACGGAACTGTCAGGGAATTTTTTCAGAGCGTTCCGTAATTTTTTCTGAATCTCCTGTGAAAAATTACGGTACCGTCACTTAAATTATCTGAGTCGATTTCGTAATCGGTGAGCGAATTGGGAGTTCCGTAATTTTTACTGGACATGTTTCTCCGTGCGAGTAACCGCGTCAACCCGATTGCAATGCCAAATCGAAATGTCATTTCTCCGATTGCACCCGGTCAATCCCAAATTAATAATTAATTGACGTCAAGACTCACCTGGTAATTAGTCCCGTCATCCTCGAATAAGCTTTCTAGTTACGCTGTGTTGCTTCTCGTGTTGAGTTTACCGGTACGCGAGTCGTCGACGTCGAGACAGCATTGCCAAGTCCGCGTGGTCCCCAGTTAGTTTTCCCCCCCACCCCCAATGGAGGATACGTACATGGGGATTGACGATGGCAACCCCCCTCGGATGGTGTTGGCGAACCTCGGGGAAACCGTCGAGGAGCGTGCGCAACCCCTCAGCCAAATCACAAGTCGTCTTCCTCGATTCCCTTCCGTCATTTCCCCACCTGCATACAATCCCTCCCACCCTTCGAGCCCCCCTCTCACCCTCCCCCGCGTCGCTGCACTGCGAGATAATTGCTCAAGTTAAAATTCGCCACCTTCTTATTATTCTGGGATAAATAACTTCGTTATTTCTTTTCGGGGCATTTGTACTCATTTATCTGACCCCGCGTCCATTTCCACTGGTGAATAAAACATTTTTACAATTTGGAATCAAATAGTTCTTAATCACATTCTATTTTTCTTTTTGTCATTTTTTTTTTGTTGCACAGGCTGGGGAGAGGAATATTTCGTGGAAATTGTTGAGAGCTGCGTTTGAAAAACGTAATTTAGGAGAAAAAAACTTCCAACTTGAATTATATTCGATGAGTTTAATAGGGAAGCTGAAGTTTTATTAGAATTCTTTCAGAACTTGGGCGAATTTCACGTGTGTTTTGGAATAGATTTTTATTTATGGAAAAAGGAGGGTTTTGGGGAGGAATTTTTCAGCATTAATTTTGCTTTTTTTTAAATTTTATTGTGAGAAACGAATGAAAATGCAGTGGGAAAAATTGAGAAAATTTACACGCCACTAGATATTTATTTCTATAGAAAAATTAATAACTAGTTACTTTTTTCCATAAAATATTTTTTAACAAAATATAAAGCTACATAATCTTCTAGAGAAATCAGTAGTGGTCAATCGGTTTAAGTCGCCCTATCGCCCAGTTGAGTTTTTGTTGAATAACTCGGAATGTCAGAGAGATAGCGAAATTTTTGTAAAATCTTTTTCGTTAGTCTCCACTTTTCTCCACAAAAAAGGTTTTAGAAAAATTTTGCTACCTCCTTTAGAATTTGAAATATTCAATTTTGCTTTTTTTAAAATTTTATTGTGAGAAACGAATGAAAATGCAGTGGGAAAAATTGAGAAAATTTACACGCCACTAGATATTTATTTCTATAGAAAAATTAATAACTAGTTACTTTTTTCCATAAAATATTTTTTAACAAAATATAAAGCTGCATAATCTTCTAGAGAAATCAGTAGTGGTCAATCGGTTTAAATCGCCCTATCGCCCAGTTGACTTTTTGTTGAATAACTCGGAATGTAAGAGAGATAGCGAAATTTTTGTAAAATCTTTTTCGTTAGTCTCCACTTTTCTCCACAAAAAAGGTTTTTAGAAAAATTTTGCTACCTCCATTAGAATTTGAGATATTCATCGAGAACTGGGGCTAGAATGTCATTGATTAAAACCAAATACAACTTTTAACCAGAATTCTAAAAGAGAGATTTCAGAAGGTTTATCATAGAATAAATCATAAACAATACTATTTTATTCTCAAATTTGATAATAAATTTCATGATTTGTCCTCTCATTATCATCCACGAAATGAATAAATCGTAGATGTCTCATAATTTCACCAGAAACAATGAAAAAAGCGTTAGATTGTTCCACTAAATTTCCCCCCGCCTGATTATTTTCTCCCGTCACAAATTGCCAGTCAAACCCAGATAATTCAGCACCCTAATTGAACTACCCCCAGGTATGCTTGTCCAATTATAACCAGGAGTAGTTGGAAGTTGTCGAATAGTACGTTGCTCAGATCGACACTAATTCATCGCGTCAACATTAATTACATAATTAAGCTGAGCTCCTCTGTATCGCGATTGAATTACATCGCGAATTTAAAAAACTCGAATTCAGCATTTAAACAGCAAAACCGTTGACATTTGCAGCAATAAAAAATGAAAATAAATGTAGAAGGAAGTGAAATCTGAGAGGGGAGATTTTTGGATTCTCGGGGGCACGATCACGTCGGCGTAAACCGTTTTGGTCTTCCTCTCTTCGGGGTCGAGTGGCGCGCGCAGACTGTGTTTCGAATTATCCCTCCAGATGAAAACGGGGAAATTCTTCCTCCACCACGAGGTATATCACCTTTACCCTTCCCTTGTAACCACCTCGTGTTGTATGTGTATGTGTACGATCTCTTCGGAGCGCCGAGAAAGGCCTGACTCGCGCGGAAAAGGGTATGTACCCTTCGGACACGGCGTTGACGTTGAAATAAAAATTCTCGTTGGAATATATTTATTCGGGTTCGAATAAGCCCGGAAAATGAATCGAAGGGTCTTCGCGGCGAGTGTGCGTCTCTGCTCGGCACCGGAATCGCTTCTCACGCCGGAGGAATCGAGATAAACATGTGAAAATGTGTTGATTTAATATCTGGTGGTGGAGAGAATGATCGAATTGGGGAGATTTTTAAAACGAACGAATGGTACGTAAGGGCCGACCCACGGAGCACTCATCAATCTCGATCCTCGATCCTGACGAACACTATTTGCCTCGGGAACTTGACAGGTAGCTCGGGAGATCGTAGGGGTGAAACGAGAATGGTGAAACGAGATTTTTTCATTAACAATTGTTAAGTGAATTGATTATCGGGCAAATTTCATGCTAACAACTAATGGCTGGGGATATTTTCAGTACAATTTATTCAAATGTGAAGAGTAATTCAGTAGCGAAGGGGTAAAACGGTTTGAGTCTACTTATTTCCCAGTTGAGTTTTTGAAGAGTATTTTCGAATCTGAGAGAAATAGCGAAATTTTTGTAATTTGTTGTAGCTCTTAATCGGCTCTAAAAAAGTTGCGAGAAAAATTTTTTGTCTCCCTTACATTCCGAGATATTCAGTGAAAACTGGCCAATAGGCAAAATTGACTTGTACCGGTTTAACACCAATTTTCCATTTTTCATAAGTTGAAGAATTTTTTTTTAAATTCTTTTTCTCGTGAACAATACCGAGTATTGTTATACGCTTACGTATGTTTGTTATGAATAGACAATTGTGAGATTTTTTTAAATAAAAAATAATGATATTGTCGGACTTGAAAATTTTCTAGTGAAGATTTTTTTAATTCAGATACTGGCGCCTGAAATTTTGAAATTAGTTCTTGCATTGATCACTGGGAAAAATTGACGTGACTGCATTTTGTTTATCACAATTTATTTCAATCTGGAGATTTATACAGCTCAATTTACAATAATATCTTTCAATAGGAATTAAGTTTTCAACAGAAGTAAAAAAAAGTGTTCAAAAAGTTTTGGTTTCTTCTTTTGCAGCTTTTACAATTTTTAATTTAATTTTTGTTTTCCTCATAAACACAGAATGTCATTGTGCATTCAGACATTTTTACCAGATAATTTGTCAATATTTCGGAACGTCCGAAAAATTTCGAGTGAAGTTTTTTTCAATTGAGGTGCCAACGGTTGAAATTCTGACACAAGTTTTTGTATTGATTCACTTGGCTATCGCGTTCTGAAAAATTCTTTAAAAATGCCTCAGGAAAAATTTTATGACTGAGGAATTATCTCGTTCCACCACTGATTTTTCAATTGAAAAAATTCGAGAATATAAAATCAACTCAATCAATTTCTCCCACATTTTGATGAACTCTCAATAAAGGAGAAATCCACAAATTTGTAGGAAGAAAGAAGAGTATCGAGATGACGATCTGTCGTATTCGCGTCATGTTGTGACGAAGAGGAAGAAGAAAAAGTGTCTTCGTTGACAGCAGGATGGTGTTATCGGGCGATATTCTCCTGGCTATTTTTATCGTACACCTGAGCCCCCTCAGTGTCTGGTAAGAAACAAAAAAATGTTATTACGCGTTAAAATGTGAAGACGAAGGAGGCGAAAACCCCAAAGACTTAATGCTATTCAAGAGATGTCTTTGCCAAATATTAAAAAAAAATTTCCCTATCTTTATTTTATGTCGTGATATTCATGATCAACTAACAGATTACAAAATCCCATAGGAGCACTCGGGGTAATTAACGTGGAGACTTGCGACTTTTCAAAAAATATTGATAACTCATTTAATTTTTAATGAAATCGGTTTTTTTTTTAATGGAAAGTACGATTCTGAATTGATAAATTATGTCTCCCGGAGTTATGAAGACGCGAAAAAAAAGTCAGTGTCCATTTAAAAAAAAACGAACCCCCTTTGAAATTCCTCAATTTTGAAAAATTTCCAATCAATTTTTTCAATCTTAAAAATGAAACCTGACTCATCCAAATCGTGCCATTCAGTCATGAGATATTGTCGACTGAGGACGTCTCACCCCCCAATTCTGATCTAATGAATGTATTCCCAAGTGCTCGTGACTCACAGGACGAAAATTATCTCGGCCAGCTTCCTTGTCCCGCAGTGTGGTCAATCGTATGAAAGATAACGGCACAAAATAGAAAGCACATCACAATCACGATGCTCCACAGCGTGTGATTGAACTGGTGTATCTCATGGAGTTGATAATATACCCACTGAATTATTTCAAAGGCAATCTCGAAGATTAATCTTATATCACCCGACATTTAGAGACTCTTCCCCCTCATCAAACGTGACGTGCACTCCACTCTCTCCGGTAGTAGGTGTACAGAGATATTGCGAGCATAATGGCTATCATTATGGCTAATATCCAGCCCAGGTCAATGCCAATGTCAGCGTTTTTCCTCTGACAGCACATTTTTCAACGCTCATCGAATGAGTTAATTTCCGTAATTACTTCTCGAATGGGGGTTTAATTTTGTCGAGGGGGATAACCCGATAAACTCCATCGTTTCGTGGTTAATTTCCCACGTAAAATGACAAGAGGAGAAAAACAAGACTGCATTTGTTTCCGAACAGTGAGTGCATTTGAAATTCAATTTTTGTATTAGACATTCACGAATAGATAAACTTTAGACGTGAAAGCCCATTTGAATTTACTTACTGCAGGAGGGCTTCCACTGCGGGAGGTGAAATATTTGAAATCTCTCGTAAATTCCGCGTACGCAGGATCTGCGGGGAACAGTCTGGGGCGATAATGTTCGGAGACACCGGGGAGGTGTTGAATGTAATTAGTCCGCGATTTGTCACTCGAGATTGTTAAACATGGCAATTAATATCAGCGGCGCAACGCAGAGGGAGTTGTTCTCGCGAATTAATTATATTGGGGGTGAGAGAAAGGGTTGAGGGGTTGAGGGTTGAGGATTTTTTTAATGCTGCATGCGGAGAGGAAACTGAAATATTGTGTTCTTTCGTAAATATTACGTCAAATTTATTAATTTATTTGTTACGGAAAAATAATTCGATAGACAATTGTATTAGATTTCTGTTGAGCTTTCTATTGGTTTTGGCCGACTCGGTGGAAATGTTCAAGAGAAAATATTTAACAGAAAAAATCAATGAAATTCGATTTTTCTATATAACTTATTCTATTGAGATTTTTTTCAATGAAAATAAATTTTTCCATCATTTAAAAAAATGTAATGAGTGAAAATAAAATAATCAAAGCAGAAAACGTTTCACCAATTTTTTTGTAAAGGATATTGTCTGTAAAATTTCCTCGCTTCAAATTTTCCCAGTTTTTTTCATTCCATTTGTGTTTTCAATATGAAAATCAAACAAATAGCAAAATCGTTCTTGATATTGTGATGTCACCAGCGCGCAGCACAGACAATTGTTCTATAAAATTAAGAATATTGAATCTTTTCTTTATTTTTCATCATTTTTGTAAATAGGAAATTTCACGTCTAATATTTTTAAACTAATTTTCGTATTTCAGTATTTTATTCAATTAAGAGTGAATAATTGAAGAGATTAAAAATTGCAAATTCTCAAGTCCAGGAAATTTTATAATTGATTTTAACAACGGAACCCGTTGTACGCATTTTCGCCCAGAGTTTTTCAATGATCAGAGAAAATATTGCACGACGCAATCCATTTATTCTTGGACATGTGAGACAGCCGGGCGCGTTCCACTCGCACGGCAGAAACAAAAACCCAAGCAAAACTCTTCAAAACTTCAGCCCAAGATTTGCTGTAACTTGTGTAATTACGTCCTGGAAGTTTCAAGCACGTTTCGACTCTTCGAATGCCAAGAGGGGAAGTTAATAAACCCTGCGATGTGGATGGAACAAACCGCATTTTCAGACTTTTATGTCATTCACAATTTCACTTCAACAATAAACTTTGAATTTATTATTTTCAATTTTTGAAATTAGTAAAGCGTTTCTGATTTCCAGTGAAATTTCTCTGAGAATGCGAGAAAGAATTCTAGTTCTCAGTAATTTTCACTGAAATCTAGTACTTTGAGTTCTTACAATAAGAACCGATGGATACTGAAATGGAAATAAAAACCTTGAGAATTTAATATTTAATTTTCATAACGGGATCTAAAATTCGAATTTTACTGAATCGTCAAGATGAACGGGAATTTTAATGAACGATCTGATCTTAAACTGAATTAAACCCCACAACGTTGAAAATTCAATTGCAATCGCCACTGGAAATTGCCTAAATTTCTAAAAGTATCGAAGTGAAATCATTCTCCGTCACGGAAAAATTATCCGTAATATTGAGCAATGACTCACGTTCACCGGGATAATTGTTGATGGAATGCCGGATAAATTTTACAGCCTCGGCACAAATTACTCTCGCGTTCCGTAAATGTTCTCGGGTCAACGGAGAAAAATTCGCAATTTGTCGCGCATTTTTCCCTGATAAACGATGAAAAAGTACTGAAAATCGAGCGCGCTCCACGATTATTTAGCTTGTTAAGTCATTTTTCCCCAACTTTTATCTCCCTGAAGATTCTCGATTCCAACACCATAATCTTGTATTTCAATACCGTGGCGCAGGAAACCAGAACCTTTTTTCTCCCATTTCTTATTTTCCCCCGCAATTTTTCCAATGAAAAAAAATGTCGTTTGGACTTCTTTTCAAGGGGATATTTGGAGTCTGGTGGCAACAGTGCATCCGATAGGTTGGAGAACGTGACCCAAACAATTTCCCGTATTCTCGACGGTTACGATATTCGATTGCGTCCCAATTTCGGAGGTAAGTGCCAAAAACTCCTCCGATTTCCCCCTCCGAAGATCCCCCAAGAATCATCTCAACGAGACTCCCGGATATTCTCATGTCACCTATCGATCCAAATGCGCGCATAGTATACACTAGTTTTGTGGTTGAAATGGGTGTCCCGTCGGGAAATTGAGGGTTTCGCTCCCCGTACTGACCCACTACCGCAAGTCTCAGTAGATTCTCACTAGCAGGCTCTTATAAATATGCAAAGCCGAGAGATTTAAATTGAGTGTAGGTTCAATTCCTTTCCGTTATTTTATCACAAAGTGTACATGTTGCCATTGAATGCCATTGAATTCACTCTCCCTTTCCCCCTTCCCGTCAGTTTTTCTATTTCCTTGTAATTTTTAATTCATCTCTCCGAAAATAAATTCTTGAAATCATTTTTTCAAACATGTATTTATCCCAAATCCACAATTTTCTAATTTTGACGCACAAAAAATTCTCGGTATTTAGAAAGTAATTTTACGAAAATAATCATAAAAATTTTGATTAATTCTTAATCATTTTTTGATGGAAAGATAAGCGAATAGAATTTTTCTTGAAAACAATTCGAAAATACATTAGTTTTTATCATCAAACGGATGATACATGAGAAACTAAGTTTTTTAAAATCAATACACTCTCTCCAAAGTTTCAGAAACTTCTGCATTGTGTAGCTATCGCACTAGTGAAATAAAATTAAAGGGGATAAAAATAATAATGCAGAAGTTATCACGAATCTTTGCACCATTTCTGCTTTAAAATTAACTGCAAAAAATTACAAGTCAAAGGAGAAAATTGTCCTGTTATTTATCGTCGGATAAAAAATGTACTTGTGAAAGCCCTTGTGTCATTTAAACTTCCTCCCCATCTGTTAATCAAACCCTGTCCTATTACTTGTAACGAGACAAAATCTAAATAGCAAGATATTTTTTATAAAGACCACTCGGCTCGGGCGATCTATCAACTCGACTCTATTTCCTCATTATTTACCCCGTACCCCCACCATATTTCATTCATAATTTTATTATGCCCCTGATAAGACAATATGGATTATGAAATACGATTCGAGCGGATTGCCTCTCTTCTCAGTAATTTTTCTTTTTTTCTTTTTATTTGATGGACGTGAAAGCCCTTAATTGAACTTTTCCACGCCATTCAATTCGACGGGGCATCATTACCCGGTTTAATTGAATAACCCGCATGCCGTCAGGATGATATCCAACTTTTTTTTAATATTTCGTTCTCCCCAGCAACGACTATGATAGAATCGATTATATCTCACGGAAATGCGTCGGAGGATTATATTACAGTTTTGTCCACTTGTTGAAATTCAGTAGCGAAGCGGTAAACCGGCGTTTTTGACGAATATCTCGGAATCTAAGGGAGATAGAAATATTTTTGTTAAAACCTTTTTTGTAGAGCCAACTGAGGGTTACAAAAAAGGTAATGAGTAAAATTTTACTATCTCTCTTAGATTCCGAGATATTCATCGAAAATGGCCCAAAGTCAAAATCGAATTTCATCTCTAATTTCTCGTTTCATTCGGGACTTTTTTTTATTCAATAGGGGATCCTCTCAAGGTTGGCATGGACCTCACCATCGCCAGTTTCGATGCTATATCTGAAGTGAATATGGTAAGTGATACATTCGGGAATTTTGAATTCGCCGCTTGCGGTGAATCGAAATATGCGAGGTGAAGGTTAAGAGAAAATATCGATAAACGTTTTTGTGGAGAATTTTGGACGAAATTTGATAACCACCTGCACAGTTGGAAAATTACTTCGGAAATTGGAAGTAAAAAATTACAAAATTTTTTATATTCACTAATTAACATGACATTTCGATCTATTTATGAATTTTCAATGTATTGAAAATTAAAATGAATGTGTTGTTTAATTTTCACAATGAGTTTGAGAATTATGACTGTGATTTAAATATTAATGATTCGTTAGCGTGAAAAGTCATCGTTATTGACATCTGCAAATGAATAAAAAATTCAGTGAATAATTAAAATCCAATTATCTAAATTTTGAAAAAGTTGTGAAATTAGAAATTCTCCAAAATTAACGATTATTAATTAACTCTGTCTCGCGATTTTATATAGACATTTGTTTTTCAAAATCCATTAAAAAAACTCCAGTGTAACACTCTTTCTTCATTTTCATTTTTTACTGTAGTTAAAAAAAATTTCGAAACTGTAATAGAGCTTTCACCGTAATGTAAACTCATAATATAACTATTTATACTCTAAATCGACCTAATTTTTGAAATACACTAATAACTAAATAAACCTTAAGACCGCAATGGAGTTCGTCCTCGAAAAAAACTGAACTTCTAGTTCAAAAAACACCCTAAAATTGTCATAAATTTCATTGCATTTTCCCGGACCGATCTCGACTTATCAACAATAAAAAACGCTCCATTTTTCTCGACTCTCTCCCGCGCCGTTCCCCCACTTCCTCCGCCATCCCCAACTCCAAATAAAAAAGAACCGCTTGCGAGTATTATTCATCATCCCCCGCGCCAAATCCTATCATCCCAGACTAAAAAAAGCCAAATTTTTTTCTCTTAACAGGATTACACGATAACAATGTACTTGAATCAGTACTGGAAGGACGAGCGGTTGGCGTTCTCATACGAGGCAGAAGTGTTGACGCTGAGTGGTGATTTCGCCGAGAAGATTTGGGTACCGGATACATTCTTCGCCAACGACAAGAACAGGTGAATAGAAGATGTGTCACGAGGGGCGGGGGGTGTGATGAAGGGGACGAGAAAGTAATAGAGATGAAAAGAGAGAGAAAGTGCATAACGATCGATTATAACTCCTGAAATGTGGGTTAACAGCTGAGGGGGGTAAACGCCTCGTTTTTTATTGTGTGGAGAATACTCTTGGAAATTGACACACATTCAACACGATTACCACACAATCATCATCTCGATTGATATCAATTTATTCAATCAATGCAAAAGATTGAAAACGTTTCCCTAAATTAAGTCAATTTCTTGTTTTTTGTTATTTTAAGGTAAAACTATTTTTCTTGGATGCCCACGTGAAACAGATTTCATGAAGTGTCGTTCCGAGATTTTTTCATAACAATTTCAGCAATTTATTCAGTTAATGAAGCAGATTAAAAACCACTTCATCAACTCAACTGGGTTAATTTATAGTTTTTGTTATTTTGGGGAATCAAATAATTGATTTTAGTTACGAATTTCATTAAACTAAGTTAATTTTTATTTTTTATTGCTTTGAGTTAAGATGATTTTTAAAATCCCCATAAGAAACGGAATTAATCAATGAATTTTCATGAGAAATTCAATGATCTTGTTCAATTAATAAAAAAAGTAAAAAATCACTGCATCACAAAATAATTTATAGGTTTTGTTATTTTGAGTTGAACATGTTTTGTAAAATCCCCACGTAAAACACGAAATCAAATCATTAATTTTCATGATGAATTTCATTAATTGATTCAATTAACAAAAACGATGAAAAACCACTTCATCTCCTGAATAAGATCCTAATTATCCTAAACTAAGTCAACTTCTAAATCAAGCAATAAATTTTAATGACAAATTTCATTGATTTATTCAACTAATAAAAATCACAAAAAGCGTCACCATCTCCCGACTAAAAAGTTGAATTATAAACTAAGTTAATCACTAGTTTTTGTTATTTTAAGGTAAAAAATGATTTTTAAAATCCCCATGTGAAGCAGGGAATCAAGTAATGAATTTTAATGACAAATTTTGTAAAGAGGTTTCGTTCCCAGCTTCCTTCATGACGTCACTGAGCGCAACAAACTCGTGAGACTATCCGGAGATGGTTCGATAACGTATGGAATGAGATTTACAACTACACTAGCATGCATGATGGACCTCCACTACTATCCACTGGACTCGCAGAACTGCACTGTGGAGATTGAAAGTTGTATGTATATCGAGTAAATAGTGGTAGCAAAGTTTGATGGGTTTTTAGGGATTATTTGTACTCGTCGATTAGATGTGAAATATACTAATAAAGTTAGTTGAGGTATAGATTGACCCGGGGGATTCTGGAGGGCCACCTGAGTGACTGGCTAAAGCACGGGGGATACATATTTGTTCTTCTCCATTAGCTCGATTAATTCAATTTGTGATTGAGATTTACCGTTGAAACTATAGCGTAAGCGTTAACGTTCACCAGACGGAGTAATCTAGTTGGCTGATGAAGTGGCTTTACTGCAGATTCTGGAAGATCACGAGTGGATATGTTGATTCCAACTTCAACGACTAGGCCAGAGATATTTCGATGTTTGTAGAATGATCAAGTCCATTTGTACTTTAGAATTTTTTGCAGCTCTAGAGACAATGGAATGATTTTTTTTAGCTCTCGTGGTTGAGATCTCAATTGCCATTTTTTGTGTTTTGAGTTTGTTGTACCCTTATTTATTCAAATGGATGAACTACACAATAAATAATAAAAAAACATGTTAGAAAATTCATGCGCAGGATGTTTTTAATACGTTATTAACAATAACTGAAATAATTGTTTGATTGTTTGTTTCAATTAAAAGAGAATAAATTAATAATAAGTTTTAATAACTCTACAATTGTTTAATCGTTTTTTTCGTTACAAGAGAATAAGTTATATATAAAAATGAACATCTTTTGTCTTTTTTCTATCAGAAAATATTAAAAAACGCGAAGTAGAGTCGCATAATTAACTTCTCGATCCAAAAAGAGGAAGTTGTTTTGAATTGAAATCGTTGTAAAATACAAATATAATTTCAACATAATTCTAATACAACCCCAATACAATTTCCTAAAAACCGAAATTTAATAGAAACATTTTCTATTAAATTTTTCCATACGTCTACAAAAAAACCAACACTTTGCCTTAAGACTATCCGAATAGATATTAAAAATATAAAATTTGTCAATCAAATCGCATGAGAAAACATTAAAAAATTCGCCCTCCTCAATTTCCTCCTAATTGAAGTGATCAAGTCCATTTCTACTTTAGAATTTTGTACCGTAGAACCAACGAATGACCCTTGTCATCCAGTCCACGATTTACATCTCAATTATCACTTTGGACTGAAAGCTTGTTGTACCCTGATTTATCCAGACGGATACACTGTGCTGGACGTTGTCATGTACTGGAAGGAGACACCGGTACGGGGTGTCGAGGAGGCTGAACTGCCCCAATTCACGATACTCGGATACGAAACTAACGATCGGAAAGAGCGTCTTGCCACTGGCATCTATCAAAGACTCTCGTTGAGTTTCAAACTTGAGAGGAACATCGGTTATTTTGTCTTTCAGACGTACTTACCCAGTATTCTTATTGTCATGTTGAGCTGGGTCAGCTTCTGGATTAATCACGAGGCTACTAGTGCCAGAGTAGCTCTTGGTGAGTGTTTCCAGATTTTTGTCAACTGAAAAAATATTCTCTGCGAAGAATTTTAACTAGCTAATTAAAATAAATTTAATAAATTTCGTAAATTACAATAATAATAATCTCTCTGTATTATTAAAATCCAAATCGACTTCTGGTGATAAAAATTTGGGGGCATGAGGGTAGCCCCCTAGTAAAAACAATAATAAATTAAATGAATGAATGATTGTAATGAATTATCCTGAATATTTCGAATTTTAAAATTAAATTTTATGAGATTGATCTTTAAAAAATCGTAGAACTATGAAAATTGTAGAACTTTATGACGATGTGCCACTTCGCTAGTGAAATTTCTCCCCTCAATTCAACAATTTCTCAGGTATCACGACGGTACTGACAATGACAACTATATCAACGGGCGTTAGAAGTTCACTCCCACGCATCAGCTACGTCAAAGCCATTGACATCTACCTCGTCATGTGCTTCGTATTCGTTTTTGCAGCACTACTTGAATATGCAGCTGTCAATTACACGTACTGGGGGGCTAGAGCAAGGAAAAAAACTAAACAGAAGAGAGATCTCATGAAGAAACAAACATCAGTTCAAACTCCAGGTGCATTTCCGAATTATTTATTGTAATTAGGAGGGGCTTTCAGGGGGGAAAAATGATTGGGGAGGTTCGTTGGAAATTTAGATGGATTTTTTTACGATTTTTCATTTGCTTTTTATGGTTTGTTTTCGAGAATAACATTAAAAAGAAATTTTGGAAAAAATTATGTGGAAAACGCAACGCAATGGCTGAAAAATTCAATTGCATTGGTAATTGGCAATTCCATGTATTTATTTATTTATTTATTTATTTATTCATTCATTTATTTATTGTTTATAGGCCCCGCAAATTAAAGACATTCATTTATATATTCTACATTCTATCTACCAAAATTTATTTGAAACCTCTATTTGTATTTGTGGATTCCTATTAAAAAAAATAATATAACGTTTGTGGCTAATTTGCCAATCGATTTTTTAATTTTTTAGTATTCCTGTTTGCAGTAAGCAACACGATGAAATGAAAAATTATAAAAAAATAACTGGAATTTTGGAAAAATTTGCAAAATTGTTTACACAAATCAGCAAAAAGAATCCGATTTTCCTCAAAAAGAGTTTGAGATAATTTTGTAAAATGTCACTTATAGAAACCACAGAAGCCGACATAATCGAGCTTCAGGACCTTCGAATATCGCCTCTGCCCAGCATCAGGAGCCGATCGGGTCTGGCAAGTGGTGCAGCCACTCCAGCAGCGGTTGGAGCTCACGATCGCGGTCATTTTCCACCAAGTTTTCGTCCTGCGCGCTACAACACCAGAAGCACTGGACTTAGATACCGCGGCACACGTCAGCACAAACCAAAGGTCCATCTCATCTCCATTTTTTTCATCTCCATCCGACGACTCATCGAAATTCACTGTTTCTTTATGCATCAGCCAGATGATTATGATTGCATATTCTAATAATTATGGAACGGTTTTCTCCTTTGTTTCCGCATTAATGCATGATGCAGAATTACGCGGCGGATTTTCGAAATGACTTTCGAACTCCATTCGATGTTTTTTGTACAATTTACGTCAGTACGAATTTTTTATTATTTCGTGCATATTTTTATTCATGAACAGAGGGTGGTGGAGTATTTATTATTAATAATTAGTAATATACAAAAAAATTCCATAGAAAAACCTAATGAATTCAACAGAAAAATGAAATTCGATTGATATTTTTCTGCAGAATATTTTTCATTGAACTCGTCGATCGATAAAAAAACGTATCAAAGCTGCGGAATTTTTAAACAGACTCGACTAAAAACTACTCAAAAATCCAGAAGAATTCCCCATTTATATACAAATTTTCCTATTGCGTCATTTTCTACAGGAATTTCTAGACATGAATTTTACCATTTTTTTCCACTCTACTTTTCTCCTCTTCATAAAAAAAATCAAACAAACAACTTGGAATATTTAAATAGACAATATTTCAATACAATAAACTCCATAGAGAAATCGAATTCTATTGTTTTTTTTATAGAATTCTTTCCATTGAATTTTTTAATAGAATCGACCGAAAACTAGCATAAAGTTCAATAGAAATCTAACAGAATTCTCTGTCGAGTAGGTTACACTAATTAATTCCAAATAACGTGAAGTCCTGCCTGATTCCAGGTCTTTCATGCCCTGAAACGAGGCGCCTCAGTGCTAAAAGCCTCATTACCAAAGATCAAGGACGTTAACGTCATCGACAAATACTCCAGACTCGTGTTTCCAGTGAGCTTCATCCTCTTCAACGCTGTCTACTGGACATTCTACGTCGTTTGAAGTGAAATTTCCCGGCGCGAGCATTAAAAATTCCACGAAAGCCAAAAGTTGGTGACAACGTGCGCGAGTGAGTGATAAACAAAGAAAACGAATAATATCGATGAACACATGCAATATGTTTAATCACTCCAATCGAATTACGTGTCCGTTCCACATTAGATGTTGATAACGAAATGACCATCATAATTAATCAGATATTTCATTAGAAAAATTTAAGATAATCGAGATAAGAAATTGAAAAATTATGAGAAATTTTACTGTCATTACGAAGTCTCTCGAAAGTACTGAATCTGAATGCTGCCACTATTATGAGACACGACGAGTTAATAATGTTTAATAATAAGTATGTTACGGTGAGAATGTTCGTGCTAAGTAAAATGCGCCTATTGAGAACAATATTATAGAAACATCAAACGAAAGTAGACGAATAAAATTATTCATTTGTATGATTTTGAGGAATCGTGGGACAATATGTTTCTACAACTTATTTCCATTCGATAATTTCAATTATTGAGTATACGGAGGGACAATTTTTGGAAGATTGCCCAACTGCTCTGTGAAATTGTATCGTGATACCTCTTTTCTTCATTTAATTAAATGGTGATTAATAAAATTTGGAATGTGGAGATCAAGTTTCATTCATCGTTTTGTAATGAAGCATTCGGAACGAATAAAACTCTTCTTTGGAATTTTTCTATTCATTTTAACAATATTCTTGTTGGAAATTCATGAACTCATATTTATTTCAATAAAAATGTTCTGATTATATTTAATGGATCATTTGTTAATTGCAAATAAAGGATTATTAAGTGTTAATAAATTTGTTTTTTTCGCCTGCTAAACAATTATGTCATTTACATAATTAATTTTAGTGGGTTAATCGTAAAAATGACTCGCGATAAAGTTTTGTAGATTGGTGGCATCATTTTTGCAAAATTTTTCTCTCCGCATACGACAATTCTATGAATTACTGTAAATAAATATCAATATAATTTGCAAATTTTATCGATGTTAAATGATGTAGCAAATTAAAGAGTTAGTTTTGGAGTATTTCGTGAGGAGAACAATGAGAACAACATGTTTGAATGAAATATACAGCGATACGAAAACAAAAGAATCATATTTCAGTTTTATTTCATTGATGGTTCAAGGCGAAGTTGAGAGTTGGCTAATCTGCGGTGAAAGACCTGACGCGTGCAGAAATAAAATCGCGTAATATAGCAACCGACGTGTAGGCGAGATACGATTGAAACAAGGGGACAAACAGCTCTAATCAGCCAACTTGAACTAGTTTCGCTGATTAAAAACAAGTCCATGACACTCGTGAAAAATGGGTATTTGTCATCCGGAGATTGACATACAGTGACATAAGACTGTATCGCAGTAATTACGCGTTATTACATGCGCAGAAGTATATCGTAAAGAGCTGTTCGTACATGAGCGAAAATCATTCATGGGAGAACCCAATGAATTAGTAGGAATTTCTATTAAATTTTTAATAAGAATTCTTCTCATCCAAATTTCAGTCAATGGAATTCCACTATTCGACTGTTATTTTATGTAGTCAACTGATAATTTTCGGTATTCAACTGGTAATTTTTTATATATATATGAAAAACACAAGATTTCCTGATCGAGGATTTTCTCTCTAGTGCAATTCTCTTGGCTGAAATTTGGATGGAAAAATTCTTTTTCGAATACCACTCGAGCTTCAAAATTAATCAGACTTTTCCTCGAATCCCTGATCATTTCCAAGCTCTTGTGGTATTACATACGAAAACTCGATTTGTTCTCAGCGCCGATTTCCACTGAAAAATATGCAACTTTAAAAACATGTTAATTTTTAATGTAATTTATTCGCCGACGCCACTGGCTATTAGCTTAGGCGCCAAACTGTGACACATTAACACTCACGGTTTCATTATCGAGTCGGAGTCTCACAAGGGACTCTATGCCTGGGCAGGTTTTTCCCTCAATTAAGGGGTCTGTCTACCCTTAATTGAGGTTTTCCCTTGTCCTGCGGCTAATGCAGGGGGTTATGGGGGGCTAACCAGGGGGTTGATGGGAGAGGGGGAGGGAAGGGAACAATTCGTAAGGACCCGAAGAGATGCCCGAAAAGCCGAAAATTTCATATAAGTTAGTCTGCTGGGATTTTTTAAATAAAAATTCTCAGGCATCAACTTTTCTTGAATTTTGCTGTTTCTATTTGAATTAAATTGAAACAACAAAATTCAATTAAATTCAATTTGAATAGAATTAAATTGAAAATTTAATTTTCACTTTAATTTTAATTAAATTGTCAACACAAATTTGTCAATCTTCATCCAAAAGTAAACTTTCTAATTTTTTAAAATAATTGATAATCAAAATTTACAATTGATGATGAATTAAAATTAAAAAACATGGAACTATAAATTTTCTATTAAACAGATAATCCTAAATTTCTTGTGAGGAATTTCCAATTATCCAAATAATCCTCAATCTTCCTACCTCAATTGCTGATTAATGAATAATTCAAATTTTACCATTTAAATTGAAGATTACGTCAATAATTGAAATTTAAAAGTGACATTAACTGACTACATAATAATTCAGCAGTAATTATAATTTATTATACGATAAAAATCGCATTACCTGCATAACTTTGAAATTAAAACCGATAATCAAAACGAAATTAAATTAAATTTTCACTTTAATTTTAATTAAATTGTCAACACAAATTTGTCAATCTTCATCCAAAAGTATACTTCCTAATTTTTTAAAATAATTGATAATCAAAATTTACAATTGATGATGAATTAAAATTAAAAAACATGGAACTATAAATTTTCTATTAAGCAGATAATCCTAAATTTCTTGTGAGGAATTTCCAATTATCCAAATAATCCTCAATCTTCCTACCTCAATTGCTGATTAATGAACAATTCAAATTTTACCATTTAAATTGAAGATTACGTCAATAATTGAAATTTAAAAGTGACATTAACTGACTACATAATAATTCAGCAGTAATTATAATTTATTATACGATAAAAATCGCATTACCTGCATAACTTTGAAATTAAAACCGATAATCAAAACGAAGTAAAAACAATGATGACCCAATATCTGCCTTAAAAATCCCCCCTCCCCTCATTCACAAGTAAATATTTGGAAATTCCCGGAAAGCATTAGGAAATCCGAAGGCTTACGTTGTGCCCCCACTCCCCCCCAGCCACGGCCTGTGTCGCCGCCTGCGATGCGTGATGCGTCTCAGTGGCAATGTGCGCCTCATTCTGTGTCCAAGCTCGACGGAGCATGACGGAGTGTCGAGTCAGACCAATTTTTAATCACCAACTCCCGCAATTAACCACAAAAAACCAAACAATCGTCGATTAAATCACTACGCAGACGCGAGTACGAGTGAAACCGCAGTTGTTAAATCACCCCATTACCGCGGAAGCCCCCGAAAACATCCCTTTGGTTAGTCATTCCCTCCCCAATCCCTAAAAAATTAACTCAGTGAGTGATGCAAGCCTAGTTGAAGAGAAAATCCAATCGCCTCGATCTCTCACAAATTAGAAAGCTGTGCTCCACATTTTTTTCACAATTCACCGCGAGAATTCACCTCTCGGAGCTGGCGAGTGTCGTAAATTACCTCAGTTGTCACAGTTTCGTTGGGAGTATTCTCAGCGTGATCAAGGGATTTCGTATGCGTTCGCAAATCTGGAATTTTCTGGTGAGAAAAATTCCAACTGAGAAAATACCTGGACTGGGTGTGCTCCGGGAAATGAACAGTGCTCTGCAAAATACGGCCAGCGATGAGATTCATATGACAACGGTGAGTCACCGATAAATATTTTTGTTATGATCCCAGCTGTGATTCACTGATTCACAAGTCCCTGTTATCACGGGTTTTATTTATCTCTCAATCTCTTCTGGAGGTCGCTATCGGGGGAGAAAGCGGCGAAAGTTGATAACAATTTGACAGCCACGGGAGCAATCCACGTGCACCTAACCTCGTGAGAAACTGGGGATTCTGTTGTTGTGATGGAGGGTTCTAGAAGCCATGTGCCACTGACAGATCTCTTTGTCCTCCAACGAGATCTGTCAACACAGTTGATGCATGTGTGGCAATTTGACCATTTAGTTACGATTTTTTCAAGGCTTTTTTTTATTTAGCGGAGGGTGGGGTAAAATGGACACTTTTGACTTTTTAAAAAATATTCATGACTCAGAAACAGATTTATCAATTGAGCTCAGTCTAAGCTCATCACAAAGAGGAATCATTGGTCTTTCAATTGAAGAATAAAATTATTCCATTTCATGAACAATTCAACACGTCGTGAATATTTCAAAAAAAGTCAAGAGTGTCCATTTTGCCCTACCCTCCTCTATTTTTATTTATTGAATCCCATTTTTTCCATCTAGTATTTTTCAAATTAATTCTGCTCCATCAATACCACTAATTCAATTTCAATCAATAATTATTTGGTTTTGATTCAGAGGAGTGTAAATTATTTTTTGTCATTGCTGTCGTATTATTCTAACGCTCGTTAGAAAATGCTCGTCTTCAAGAACAATATATTGGTAATTCCTCGGTATTAATAATTTTTTGTTGAACCCAGTAATGTTTAATGATCGCGTTCTTTGATTTTTCATCAATCGACGTGAATTTTCCCTCATTTCCACTGTTTTTTCTACTGATTGCATTGCCACTTTCAATCAATAAACACTTTGTTTTCATTCAGAGACACGAAAATTCTCGTCTGTCATTGTTATTTTATTTCAAATGGAAATAGTCATTCGTAGACAATAACTGACGTCATGCTAATCTCTAAAAGGAATGTGTTTAAACTGAATCATTAACCTAGTACAAGGTACAGGGCTGGGGCTGGTGGACTGAATAAATAAAGGCGGATGTTACAAAATATCATATGATTTAGGTGACTCTCGGCAACATATTAATCAGCCGCATTTATATCTAATCTAATCTATTCATGTTTAATGAACATGTTCTTCGACTTTGAATGTTTTTCAAATTGATAATGCTTTTAATTTCAGTAAATAACCATTTTATTTCCATTCAGATAATTCCAAATTCATTTTTATCTTTGCTATTGCGTATTATTTTTCCCGCAAAAACAGTCATTCGTCAACAATAGCTGATGTCATCCTCATCTCCGCAAGATGTTGTTGTTGAAATTTCAGACAACATTAATTTTGTCCGGCATTTATCCATTCATGGTAAACATGTTTTCACATTTTTTTGCAGCCTGAACTCATTTTCCATCATGGATATCAAGCAGAAACCCATCACATTTGGACGGAGGATGGCTATCGGCTCGAAATTCACCGAGTTGTCCCGCCCATCGCTGAAAAAAAATTGAAGGAACCGGATGTTGAAACAGGATCGTGGAGTATTTATGATACTGGTAAAAAGCGTCAGAGACCAACGGTCATCATACACCATGGTCTCCTTTCTAGTTCTGCCGACTGGGTTTTACTCGGTCCAAAACGAGCACTCGGTAATTCACTATTTCCTGCACTTTGGACTGACAATGAACTCTTGCACGCGTTTTTCTGTCCATTTAATCTATGGAAATTTGTTTTTTAGCGTACGTACTTTGTGACGAGGGGTACGATGTGTGGCTGGCGAATGCCAGGGGAAATAGATACTCACAATGCCATAAGACATTCAGTACTAAGGACAAAGAATTCTGGGATTTTAGGTGAGAACGAGAACATTGTAATATCGATTATTTGTCAATTGGTTTTGTTTTAACGTCTTTGATGAACACGAATCTGTTAGGGAATGAATTGAATTTCATTTGGGGGGAAAAATCATGAAATTTCAGATTTCGTAGAACATTCCACAGAATTCTACATTTTTGAGCAGCAGGAAGACGATAATACCCCACTTTACTTCATTTTTCAATTAATTAAGAATTCAAGAATATATTTAGATACATTTTCCTGATTTTCTTTAGTTTTCATGAAATAATTGAATTGAAATGTACAGTTTGCATGTTCCATTTTTGCTGAAATTGACAGTTTCTCTGAAATTTTGAATTTCCAACTAGGATGTGCAAAAAATTTTTAACAGTGAATATTCTTCTCTCTCAATGCAGCTGGCATGAAATTGGAGTGTACGACCTACCAGCAATAATTGATTACATCCTGGAGAAGACTGGTAATCCAAACATGTCGTACATTGGCTACAGCCAGGGTACAACAGCACTGTTCGTTATGGCAAGTGAACGTCCTGACTACATTGATAAAATAAAAGGAATGGTCTGCATGGCACCAATAGCATTTCTCTCCAATCATCGTAGCCCACTTTTGAAATGCGTTGTACCACTTCACGTCCTGATGAAAGTACGTAAATCATATTGATCACATGCAACATTCAAAGCACCTTTTCAGATGAATCGTGTGAATTTTGCCATCACCATTTTCGTTTTCATCTTATATTTATGATTAGTATGCTTTAGTGGGCGTCAGTGTACTGCAATATCAATCAGTGGTTTCCGAGGAATAAACTGCAGGCATTTGCATTGGCTACACTTATGAGGAATGCGCCTGATAAGTTTGCGCAGACGTTTTGCTATGGATGGTTTCATCTTGTTGCTGGATTTGGCAGCGATCAACTTGACAAGTCCATGATGCCCGTTGTTTTTGGACACTTTCCCGCTGGGGCTTCGGCCAAGCAGATTATTCATTATTGTCAGACAATAACGTCAGGTAATTAATTTATCATCTGGAGTTGAATTATTTCAAAAATCAAATTATACTGTTGGAGCAAAATTGAAATTTCATGGACTATTTGGCAGTAATTATCCAAAGAGTCGCATTAAATTCGATTTAGGGGGGAAAAATTAGGAAATTTCAATGAAAATGCAATGAAATTCAAGCAAAATATAAATTTTCAGTGCCAAATTTTCAGTTATACAATGTGTTGAAATTTCAAATCATATCCAGCGATAAAAAAAATCGTGAAAACCCATTGACTTCTTCAAAAATCTCATCAATTCTTTATCCAACAGGTTTATTCCGAAAATTTGATTATGGAGAGAAGATCAACACTAAATTGTACGGGACTCCAGAACCACCACTGTACGACCTCAACAAAGTGACATTTCCCGTTGGCTTGTTTTATAGCGATAATGATTTCCTGAATCACGCTTCAGTAAGTATCACAATTGCCACACCTCCACCGCAAAAAAAAATCGGCAATCAATTGAAATTTCTCATTATTTCAGGACGTCGAGACTCTCGCCGCTGCCTTGCCAAACATCATCGAAAAATTTAGAATAAATTACTCAAAATTCAATCACATTGACTATCTTTGGGGTAGAGATGCTAAAGAACTCGTCTACGACGATATTGTCAGAGTGCTAAGACAATTCTAGTCTCATATATATTTTTTTATTTTTTTCCCTCATCACCTCTCTATTTGAGTGGCGAATGAATATTTTTACATGATCGGTATTTATTAATTAATATTTCTCAGTTCGAGGAATTCCGTACGTGTCCATGACTCAAGCATTTTCATTCTGCATTTTTCATAAAAAAATTGTATTGGCAGAAGCAGTTACCAGGAGTAGATAAATATTCTGTATTTATTGGAGATGGAGAATCACGAGATAAAGTCAAATATTTGTGTGAACAATTGATATAAATTGAATATAAACGAATTAATCAAACTAATGAATTTTATTTATTCTGCTTGATCCAGTATTCAGAAAATTATCATAAACACACGAGTCACTGCACAAAGAGAAGAAAAAATTTTCAATTTGACTAGAATAAGGAGATTTGCACTAATGAATGGGGTTATAATAAATTAATGCACTCTTAGGAACAAATTGTTGTTTTTAGTACCAAGAGCACTTCAAATAATTAATACTATCGCTTAATTCACTCAGAACATCTCAATCATGCCTTTCATTAATTTCTTCAACTATTAATCGTAGAAATGTATCAACAATCTGTACAGAACACAATTCTCTCAACTGTTATCACTCTCAACTGCGTATCACTTATCAATTACTAGAGAACATAATCAATTTATATTAACAGATTTCGAAAATATGTCTAAATTATGCCTAAAAATTTCTCCAAAAATACCATCTCAATGTGTAACGGGGTTTAATTACACATTTGGAGGAAATTAATTGCCTAGAACGATTAATCATCTAGAGAATTTGGCTATCTACTTAAATTTGTCACGTAGAGATGTTTCAATTCTGTTTTGGGGGTGTTTTCGAAGAGGGCTGCACGATTCTGTCCCTCTCCTTTCTTCACCCAGTGACCGTAGACCCGAAAAGCACAGCCATCGATCACCTGAAGAAATAAACAATGCGAGTGATAAAATGGGGCAGTTATCACTGCGTCTGGATTGAAATCTGGATGATTCATGTGAGGTTTTTTTAATCGAGTGTTATTTATTTACCTTTCGCAGAACTTTGATTCTGTAAGGATCCTCACGTGCCACCAGCGTGGACAATGGCTCAGGCGTCGTGTGCAATCTCTTGATGCGTATCACAGCGCGCACTGTGAGAATTGCCAGCTGGAATTTCTTTCTCGCGTTGAAGGATTTTGCTTTCAATTCCTGGTAGAGTTGGGGAAAATGTGAATATTAGCAGTTGGCTCGGAGTATTTTTTTTGGGAGAAGAGTCATTACGATTTTAGCCTCGATTTGAGAATATTTGAGGACTAATCCTTGATTCGAGAGTCAATTTTCTTGATTTAATCACGTCCACATCTGTTAAATGATTAATTTCTGAGTTTTTAACTAAGAAAATTGTATTTTTTTTTAATTGTAGAAAAGAATTTTTTTGTTGAGGTATTAATGAGAAACTCGCGAGTAGAATGTCAGGAAATGTTTCCTGATATTTCCTCTCTATTCGAAAGGTCACGGTTTGAAAATATTTGAATATTTTATTCTTAATGGAAGGCTGAATATCCATAACTGAATCACGTTTACGGGGTTTTAATTCAAGAAAATCGTATTTCGAAATTTATATTGAATAAATTCTTTATTTTATGTTAAATTATCTTATTAATTCTAGAATAGAATTCAAGAAATGTTTTTTGACATTTCCTCCCAAAATCACCCATAAAAAATATTTTAGATTCCCGTTAAATGATCGTATTCGTGAGGAATTTTAGAATAAAATGTCAAGAAACGTTTCTCGATATTTCCACCCAAAATCGCTTATGAAAAATTTAAGAGTTTCTCCGTTCAAAAAGCAACAGATTAATTTAGTAAGCAATCAATAAAATACCAACTCAGTTAATCACAACAACAATTTGTTAATGTCCATGACAATAATGATATTCATTAGATGAAATGACGATGGGACAAAAAAATAAATAAATAATTTACCAAAGCTAATTGGGAAATCCTACTTAGGCGTCGCGAATTAGAGGACAGTGAACGCTTGAGTGGTGCTATATCTTGATCCCACAGCTGTAATTACAATGAAAATAAAATACACAAGTTCCCTGTGCGATTGTCGCCTTCGAATCGACTCTTGGCTTTGTACAGTTGAATTTTTCCATTGAAAAATGAAGAGAAAAGACAAAGAAAATAGATGTGATAATAATGGCCATGGATGCGATGTCTATCCAGAAACCAAGCCAGTGACTCCGAAGCTCGAGAAAATCAGGCGTATATCACATTTTTCGCTTCAATTATAAATAGACAAGAGAGCAGAAGGTTTTCTGGTGTTTTGAAAAAACAAATTCTCGACAGAGAGAGAGAGAGAAAGAGATATCGAATGGAAGAGTATCGACTCACCACTGTATGGAAGAATGGATGATCTAAGGCCTCTTTTATTGAAGCCCTTTTCAGCGGCTCAACAACGAGTAATTTCCTAATTAAATCCTTGGGAGCATCAGTTATGTCAGTCCACTCAGGTGACGTGAACGAGTATTTTCCCTCCATAATATTCCTCAACATTACCATCTGTTTGCGATGCCAGAACGGTGGGCATCCGACTAACAGTGTGAACATTATTACACCACAGGCCCAGCTGGGGGGATTGCAACACAATTTTAGTTTTTAATTTTCATCGAGTGGAGGGAGATTTTGGGACTCTTACATGTCTACTTCGTATCCATAGCCTTCTGCATTTTCGAACATGTTGCATTTTAGGACTTCTGGGGCTAGGTAGCCAGGAGTGCCACATAAATCTGGGGGGTGAAGAGAGTTTAATCAATGAGTGATCGGAAAAACTTTAGGAAGTGATGGTAGAGAACGGAAAGAGGCGATTCTTCACATTTTGTTCAAAAGGCTATTTTTTTCCAGTGAAATGCTCTTGTACTTTCCAAGTCGAACAGCAGAGCCTTATTCGACCCTAAGTTTCCCGACATTTTACAATGATTTTATTATTTAAACTTTGCAAGTGTGAGTTTGAATCGCGATATTGAATCATTAGAAAAAAAAATTTTTTATCTGAAAAAAAATTAGAAAGTTTACTTTTGGAGGAAGATTGATGAAATAGTTGGAAAATTGCAATTTTTTACAACTGCGAGTATTTTTCGTAAATAATTTATAAACAATCAATTCTGAATCGCAACAAATTTATTGATATTTATAATTTTACCAGAAATCGATTTGATGCCCCAAAAAAAAAGGCTTCCGAAACTTTAAATGATTTTAATTATTTATCCCATGTACATACCAAATAATTTATCCCCTGGCTTGAGCATCCTAGCGAACCCAAAATCCGTGATCTTCACGTTTAAATTGTCATCAAGCAGGATATTCTCAGGCTTGAGATCCCGATGAACAATCCCCTGGCTATGGATATGTAGAACCCCCTCGAAAACTTGTCTCATGATGTACCTCGTCTTCTTCTCAGACAACGTAACCACGGACGTCAAGTAATCAAAGAGCTCACCATTTTTGCACAGCTCGAATATCAGGAATATAAAAGTGTTCGATTCGAAGACATCGTGCAGCTCAACTGCAACCAGTTATGAATGAATGGTTGACAGGAGATGCACTAATTTCACATAAAAATTGATGCAACTGTTTGCTTCATTAAGAAACTATATAATTAATGACTTATGTCTGTCGTTTTGTTTCTGCAGAATGAAATAAAATTCTTTATTTCAAATTTCTCGGTTTATTTCAACAGAATTTCCATTGGAAATTAACAGATGTTTTAATTATATAAAATAAATCAGTGATTTTATTTGAATAAACAATCATCACCTGCTAATAAATTCGTTCTCTCTTTCTTCTAAATAGTTATTTCACTTCTAACTGATAAAGTCTTTGTTTCACTCAAAATGACATTGATTTGACCCAATTAAGTAATGATGACATCTTAATAAAATAATTCTCTTCACGGTCTAAACAATTACTTAACCCCGGACAAACGAAGATCGACAAACCTTTCTTTATGTTTGAAAAAATATTCACTCCATCGAAATGGGCTTTATTTAATTTAAAAATCATGTCTCTGCGTGTGCTTTTTCAATTTTCAGTCTTAACTATATGAAATAAATCATCCACTCATTCCACATATCCAAATAAAGAATTTCCACTTGTAATAAATTCTTCATTCGCATCTAAAAACCTTTGTTTGTATCAAAAAAGCTATTCTTTGCATTGAAATAGAGTTTATTAAATTCGAGTGAATGATTGCTTCGGACGAATCATTTCAAAGTCAGATTTGACATCGAAATTTCACAAATTAGATGTAGAAAGAAATTGAAACTCACTTATGTAGGGATGACCAGCAACTCGTCTTAGTATATGCACCTCTTGCATAGTAGCATCTTTCATCGTGTGACCTTCAGCCCCATCGTGTGGCTCATTGCTTATGTCTATTATTTTAGCAGCATACTCAATACCAGTCTCCTTCTCAATGCATCTCCTAACAGTCGATGAAATTCCCCTACAATTAAATTGAGGGATAAATTGAAATGCGTTGAGATCTATTGATAGATCGCCCATTAACGGATTGTTCTTTATGCATTGTTTCACGTAGCATAGGTTATATTGCTTAATTATCACTAGCATTGCGTACACAAGAGGATAAATAAACATTTACAGCATTGGAAGCAGTGGCTTCCATATTTAGACTTGATGATTTTTTGGGAAGATATTTCATCCCAATTATGTAATTTTTGTTTGATCGATCTCAGGATGATTATTGCGGTGTCAGAACGCGGGGGAGAGGTGTTGAATGCTCGATTTGGGTGCTGCACTCGTCAGGAGTGAATAGAAAAATCAGGGAGTTGTGTTGACATAAGTACGAAATACAAACGAACCTTCCGAGAATTTCTTTGGGCTCGTATTTGGCGTAAAAGCCCTTTGCTGCGTCCTTGTCAGGCAGTAGATCATCCACTTCATCTTTAGCCATATTCTCCCTAATTGTTCGATGAAATACTTAATGTTAATACAATTTTATTATGATAAAAAACCGTGTTGTTATCTCATAATGGGAGAATGTTCAAAATGTGCTTGGAACTCTTTATTCACACTGAAAACGCACCTTGTATCGATGCTCTGTGCACCTGTCAATTATGCGCAATTGGACGGCGCAGCTGCGCACAAATACTTGGGGCTCATTGGTCGCGGGGTATTTACATCGGAACGCGCCGGAATTCAACTCGGGGTAACAATGGATTGTTGAAAGAACAAGGGAAACTGGAATGGATTTTTTTTTTAAGCCACCGGTGGAACTTCCAATTATCTCGTTTTATGTCATTTTCGGCAGGCAAACAGTCAACTTTTTTATTTTTTTGATAATTCGATTTTGGCTCAATGGATTGAACTGTTTAAATTCGATTTTTATATCAATTTATCCTATTCAGATATTTTCTATTCTCCTCAGATCAAATTTTCGAAGTTTTTTTCTAATGACAGGTGAATATCTCAATGGAAAAAGTTAGTTAAGTTGCCAGTTTATTAAATAAATAAGATTGAATTAAATTAAAAATCTGCTGAACATTTTCAAAGAAAAAAAAACGCGGCAGAGTTGCGAGATTTTTCAATCAAATCGGTTGAAAATTAATTGAATGTTCAACAGAAATTTGTACGAATTGCATAAAGTTTTCCCATAAAATACAACATTCACTCAGTAAAATAAAAGTTATTGTTCGGCTCGTCATTTCATCCAAACCACCAATTTTCCTCCTTCCTGTGAAAATGAGTTGCACGCTCAGTGGGTGGAATGAATTCACTTGAGAATATTTTGACAAGTGCAAAACTCGAGTGCAAAATACTCATGGAATATGACAATAAACACATTAATTTGTTTCCTCATGGCTGTTTATTTTTTCACATCTGGTGACACCCACTGAACTCCGTGCAATGACCGAGAGCTTGGAGATTTATGGCAAATTGAAAAAATATCAGAGAATTTCATATATCGCCTGGCCGACGTAATTTCCTCCTGGTGCGTAGTTGCAAACGAGGAATGTAATGTAGTATCCACCATCTCTTCTGTATCTTGATGCACCACAGCCAAGCCAAATAGTCTCGGCCCAAACCATCTGGGTGTAGTGGCCGATCACCGGCGCTAATGGGTTTAGCGGAAGGCTGAACATAAAAAAATGATCAGTCGCAGTTCGAATTTTTCTGTTTTCTAGTCCTAAACATGACTTTTTCAAGTTTTTGCCAAAATTCAAGATCATCACAAACAAAATTATAAAACAATTGTGTAATATAAACAATAAATAATTATAATTACAAGTTTTATAAAAAACATTATAAAACTCAAAATCACGATAAACAGAAAAAACAATGGAAATGAATTTATAAAATTACCAAAAAAACTTTCCCAAGAATTTTCATAGAAAACGTCTAAAGAAAAAAAGCGAGAAGAGAAATCAACATTTATTTTCTTTGTAATCGTTCAAATTTAAATTTTCAATTTTTTGTATTATTTTTTGGATTTGATTTTCATGATGATTGTTGAAAACTTCGAATTTTTCATGAATTTCCCTGAACGTGAGCGTTCTGATGTTTTTTTCAAATGTGATGTTTCAAATTCATTCAAGTATGTGTAAATAAAATTATTGTATTAACATTTTATGGAAGGGCTGAGGGGAGAGACAGGACCGTAAAAAAGCCAATCAATTTTCCCACTTATTTTCATTAAATATGCCCGAAAAAATCGCGCGGTAAAATGTCAAAAATTCATGAGAGCATAGTTTATTAACATTTTTTGTAAAACAATTTCAAAATAATTTAAAAACGTATCCCCACAAATAATATTAAAAATTGGCTGTTAGTATTTCACTCACAACAATGCTCTGACCAGATGACTATTGAAATCCGCGACTTCGTTGTACCAGAAATCTACCATTTGAAGAAGGCTCTCATTGCGCCATCGATCAGACCAGCCGATGTACGCGACATTTTGTCCCACGTACGTGTCATCAGCTAGATTTAAAATTGCAAAGAATTATAACAGATCAATTGACAAAATTCATTACGACTGAATTCTTACCTGTGTTTCGACACCTGTCATGGCCATAATTGCATTGATCAGCCCACCGCTGTGCGATTGCCGCTACTTCATCGTTCCATGTCTGCAGAGAAAAACCCCCATTACGATTTCTACCTTCACGCGGAGAGAAATATTCAATAAAAATTACCAGAAAAAGACCTAGAAAATACTCTTCCAAACGTAATCTGGGAGCGAAGTAAAATTTAATAAAAAGTGTCAATCGTCACGTAAATTCTACGATCTGTTCCGTAAAAATTACTCAACCGTCCAACGCCTCACGGCTATCCATGAGAGGAGATTTTAACAAGACGTTCCGTAATTTTTCCGGAACGTTCCGTAAAAATTCTTAAACGTCCAAGAATTTTTGTATTCCGAGCCATAATAAGTCTTAAAATTTCTGTTAGATTTTACATCTTCCAGAAAAATTGCGACAGACCTGAGAATTTACAGAGCGTTGCACATTTGTTCTCTTCAATTCCTATAGAAATTGACTGAAAACGATTCCGGTTCGCGGATTACGTGAATTGTTCCGTAATTTTTCGTAGTTTCGTGGGCCCATTTGACAGGTAATTCAATTCCTCAAATCTGTTTCTCGTTATTTTCAATGCTCTACATACCAGAGGACCGAGGTTTCTAGCCGCAGGCTGAGGTCCAGGAGCACCTCTTGTTTCTCGACCACTAGCAACATAAGCTCTGTACCAATTGTGCCTATTGAGAAGTGCATTCTTCTCGCCCTGAGTCAAACCCCTGCGCCCCAATTGACCGCAAGAAGGAGAGGGTGAAGTTGACTGGAATTTTCGTTGCCGAATGACAAATGTTAATGTCTTTTATTACTGAATTAATGTCGATTTTTTATTCGATTGTTCATTATAAAGTTAGTATCGGATTCAATGTCATTGAACATACGGAGAAATTTAACACTCCATTGGTCGCACTTTTTCCGATTTTGTAAATTACACTGCAGTGAAGCCTCAGGAAAATTTGAAAAAATTTGAGTCTCAATTTTTTATTCGATTGCACATGCAAAAGAATTTAATAGCAAAATCTAGCGAAGACGATACAAAAATCCATTGCATTTTTATTGCATTTTAATGCATTGCCTTAAAAAAAATTCAATAGTTCCGATTGGATATTTTTTATTTAAAAAAACTCGCAGAAAGCTGCGGAATTATTTGTCGGATCAGAATTTTCAGTAGAAATTCAATAGAATTCGGAACCCCTAGCAGTTTTTCTATTCAATTTTTCCGTGCGGTTGTTTATTACTGAGGAATCTTAACTCTTACACGATAGAGACATAACGTATGCGGTTCCTCTCTGCAAGAAGGTAGATTGCAGTATCTCTCTTGCTGGCAACTGATCAGTACTAGACCGCACAGCAGTAACACTTGAGCAAATATCCTGGACATTGTCTAACGGTGCACTGAAGAAATCTACCCGCACCCGCTGTTTAAATATCGATCGCCGCTCTCCGGAACACTTCCACCAAAGATAATATTGACAAGAAGAAATAATCTTGGATGGCGAATGTAGGTAATGAATGTAACTTGTAATGATACAGCCTGTTTAGTACATCTCCCTAACGTCAACTTGAAGACTCCGCAGAGGGTTTTAATACCCGAAAATATAAATATTTGCAGACACAATGCGACTCTGGTATCATAAGCCGTGTTAATCTCATTCCTTGAGTCTCTATATCTCTGCAGATTCATAATCCGTCCAAAAAAATCGTAGAAAAACCGACTTCGGTAGAAAATTCTATTTGATTCCTATTCAACTACTGAACTATTAGTTTTCAGCCAATTCTATTGGAAAATTCCTCCGCTTATCTGCACGTTTTTTTCTCAATAGAAATGTTCAATGGAAAATATTCTTTTGAAGAAATAGTGGAATTCAATTTTTCTACGTAACTTAATCCATTGAGATATTTTGTACAACAATTCCTCTGTCCGACTTTTTAAATTGTTTTTTGTTTCGTTTTTTAAATGAAGAAAAGAAGGAATGAAGTGGGAAAACTTGAAGAATTCATGCCGAGAAATTCCAATAGCAAATGTTTCATACAAAATTTCTATCGGACATTGAGATAGTTTCTACGGAAATTCCTTGGTCTAACTTTTTATTTTTTTTTAAGAAAATGTCTCAATAGAAAATGTAGAAGCTGACATTCTACTTTTTTTCGTAAAGTAGTTTCTGTTGGACATTTTCTATAAAATAATGCGCAATAAAGCTGCGGAATTCCTCTGTAGAATCGGCCAAAAACTAAAAGAATTTTCATAAAAGTTTTTCAATGATTTCTTCTTGTGCGTCATCACTCGATTAACGATGGTTATCCATTTTCCGAAAATCTAGTGTTTCCATGTTCACGAAAAATTCGATAACTTCGTTTGTAATGATGAGGAAACATATGAAACTAATTGATTATAAAATGTTCATCAATATAAAGAAGATACCTCTGTGTCAATAATAAAAAGTTTCTTACGTCTATTACTGCAATATTTTTTTCATCGTCTTCTTTGTCATTCGTTTCGTCTGAATCCTGTCAGTGTTTGCAGTTTTGAATAAAAATCCTTAATTTTTTTCAACGAGAATAAAACATTCCTTCCCAGGCACGATGTAAATACCTGGGGTCATTGAAATTGATTCATTTGAATTGACTGGAATAATTGATTATTATTGATACCTGAATATTCTTCTGTGAAAAAACATGGCAAGGGAAATCAAAAAAATTATAAATACACAACACTATTATTATTATAAATATTATATTATTCAATATCTTCTGGAGAATGAAAAATACAAACCGTCGATGATGTCAATAAAATATTCACCACCGTTGGCTGCCCTCATTCATGTTTTTCATCTTGGAGTTTTATGATAATTTTTTTTATTGCTTCTTGTAATTCTTGCAGATTAACAAATGTTTAAACAAGTTGTTTTCAGATGCGGGCTTTCAAACTGGAGTCGGATTGTCGGCTGAGTCACATTCAAGCATTATTATTATTGTTTTTTGGAGACTATAAGGCGCTCATATAAACAATACAAGGCATTGATTGAACATGATAAAGTATGAGGAAATATTACATAAGGAAAAATTGTCAAAAAATCTTGCGCATTCCAGAGATAACTCTTTTGGATTGGCATTAATTTTTTATTAATGATCAATAAAAAATTTTGTTACGGAAAAAACCAATAGATTTCCATCGAAATTCCTGGGTTTAAATTTTCTCAGATCTGCTTGTATTTTTCTAATGAAATAAGAAAAAAATTGAGTGATAAATCCTGAGTTTACGCCGAGGAATTTCTGTAGAAAAAACCCTCAGGACTCATCACTTCCCAATTTCGACTATGTCGTATTGAATTACGTACGGGGCCCGGCAAGAAGTGCATTGTGCTTCATTCTATTTCGTAGACTGGCTGACCAATAAAATTTCCCGTCGGGGCGTAGTTACAGACGAGGTACGTTATGTAGTATCTGTCGCCTTGCTTTCTGTATCTGGAAGCGCCGCAGCCGAGCATGGTGCTCTTCGCCCAGACCATCTGGGTGTAGTGATAGACTTGCAGCGCTCTTGGGTGGTACACAACGCTGATTACAGAGAGAACGCACGTGATAAGCAAATTCAGAAGGTTGAGGATAATTCACCAGGCACGAAGGAAAATAGAAACACTTAGGGGATTCGAAGCGGTAGAACGATTTACCCCTCGATCATTCGCTCAATGCGCGCGGCGCCGCCCGTTTTCGTTTCTTTTATATTTTAGTGTGTTTCTCGACGCTTAGAAATTCTGAAAAAATTAGAGTTCCCAGTTCAATCCTTTTATTAAGCGTTGGCGTTGTCCGTTTTTTTCTCGGGAAATTTGTTCAGGTAAAAAATGGAAAGGAACGTCGAACGGACAGGAAAGCGGCGCCGCGCCGCCCGCGCGGGTGAGTTCCTGTGTCTCGAGCGACAGTGTTGCTACATTCACTGTCAGACTTGAAATGCGCGCATAGCGGTAAGCGCCAAGGTGGCAACAGCGCGCTCGGTTTAACCAAGCGGTAGTCGTGCGGCGAATGGAAGCTGGCGGCTGAGCGCGGGAGATCGAGGTTTAAGTCAATTTTGATTATTGGTCAGTTTTCAATGAATATCTCGCACCCTAATGCAGATAGCAAAATTTTTATGATCACCCTTTTTTGTAGAGTGACGTGGCATCACCCTTTTTGAGAGCCACGAAAAAAGTTATCACGACAATTCGACTAAAAATTAAGACGAGTTGAATCGTTTTACCGCTTCGTTACTGTATTGGCTTTTAGGCGATTCTGTTGAATAATTTCGCAGGTTTACTGCCTGTTTTTTATAGAGTATTTCAAATAAAAACTGTTTTGTAGAAAAAACAGTAGTATTTTATCTATATTAGCTGCATCACTAGCACATATTTTCTGCTAGAATTTTATCTTTCCATGCAATTTTTTTATTGAGACACTTTCTATAAGAATTCCTCAACATGAATTTTCCAAGTTTTTTATTCACTGCATTTTTCTTCTATCATTAAAAAAATCAAGGAAAAAACTTGAAGAATGTGAGCCAAGGAATTTATATAAAAACATCTCAGTAGATTAAGTTGCGTAGAACAATCGAATTCTATCAATTTTTCAATAAAATCGGCCGAAAACGCATGGAAATGAAATTTTTCAGCGAATGGTTTTTTCCAGGTACGTGACTTATTATAAAATACCCACCGAAAGTTGCGAATCTTGTTCCTATCGAAATGTTCCACCTCGTTGTACCAATTATCTACCATTTGGACTAGATTGTCATTGTTCCATCCTGCAGTACTTCCAATGAATGCGATGTTTTGTCCCACCAGCATTTTAGCTAGAAATCAAATAAAAGAAGTTGGGAATTAGATATTGACTTCAATTTCGGGGATAAAGAATCGGCAAATTTCAAAATTCGCCTGAATTTCCCTGATCTCTATCAATTTTCATACAATGACTGAACTAAAACTCCCAGTTTCCGTTGATTTTTTCATCGAATTGCGAATTTTTAGTGACAAAAATTTGTAACAATACGTAATAATTAATCAAATGCAATAGTCCACAATTGTTACCGGTGTTCCGGCAGTGGTCGTGTTGGAAAGAGCACTGATCAGCCCATCTCTGCGCATACTCTGCTATTTCATCGTTCCACGTCTACGGAAGGAAAACACATCATTACGCTCCTCATTCCGTCCACAAAACACTTCGTTTCCTCGTTAAAAATATCGAGAAAATCGCTTTTTAATTTTTTTACTAAAAGTACTTCGTTTCGCCGTTAAAAATATCGAGAAACTTCCTTTTTACTCGCTTTTCACTTTGATTTATCACGCAGATATTGATATGTTGATGTAAAATGAATGGAAAAATTTAGAGTTCAAAAAAACAATAAAGATATGATAAAAATATGATAAAAATGAACTAAAAATACGGTAATATTCATCGTTTTATTTATTATTTCGTTCGTGTTCCTTTCGATTCGCGTAATTTCCACTAATTTTTTTAGAACAACGAATACACTTCGTTTCTTGATGAAAACAATTCCGAAAATAATTTCCCGTTAAAAAATGTCCGTTACAAAATACAATTTACGTACCATGGAGCCGAGGTTTTTCGCGGCGGGTTGGGGTCCATTGATACCTCTCATTTCCTTTCCACTAGCGACACGAGCTCTCCAGTGATTGTGTCTCTCGAGAATAGCCTTCTTCTCCTCGGGAGTTAAACCCTTGCCCTTCATCTCCCCGCACGAAGCTGCAGGCGTTTCCGACTGCAACACACAGAGAAAAAAGTTGTGGAAAAATGATCAAACAAGTCAAGTAATCGTGGCGCAACCTCGATTGCCAGTGCTCATCTTAAATGGGAGAAAAGTGCGAGATTAATCGTGAATATTTAGTGAATATTTTACTCCGCTGGCGGGGGAGTATTTTTAAAAACCAGTATTTTCTCACTGAAGTACATTTTGTACTTCGAGGTAATTTTTCTCCAACTTTTCTCTCATTATCGAATGATGAACGTAAATTTTTAAATTAAAAAAATTGTAATCCTTACAGGAAAGAGGCACATCGTATGGGGTCTCCCATAGCAAGACGCCAGATCGCAAAATTTTGTTTGGTCCCCACGGACCAGTGCTAGACAGCACAAAATCAAGACTTGAGCCAATAGCCCGGCCATTGTTCAATCGTCAACTGAAGAAATCGATTTGCACGCGCTGTTTAAGTATCGACTGCCCGGCTCGGGAACACTTCCCCGAAAGATGATTTTTATATGCAGTAGTGATTAGGCACGGAGAGCACAGCAACTATAATTTAAAGTGCCACTGAAAAATGACGCATTTGAGTGAAATAAAATTTGAATTTTAATTCCTTTCAAATGTATCATTTGTCTGAAGTTACTTGAAATATTTCTATGCACGTGGACAGTATTTTTGTTTGAAATTGACAAGCTCTTTTTATTTCAATGAACAAGGTTTATCATCTGACATAAAGAATGTATTTATTCCAAATAAATTCTCTATTAGAGTCGAATCGACGAATGTGGGAATATTGAAAGAAATCCATGCATTTAATTCAAATAAAGCATTTCTCTGGGGCTAAGAAAAATGATCATAACTTTAAAATCGTTATCGAAATTTATCAAAGAATGTTGTTATTCATTTTCCCTACGTGTATGCGCGAGTGACGTGAACTTACAACGATTCATTGATCGGAGATTGCACACGATTGATGTGTAATTTTCATAAAATGATTCAGCCGCGTGCCGAATGTTTAGAGAGTGTGCCATATCGATTTTTAGTCGACGAATGATAGTTTCACACAATTTTTCAATTTCGATCGACCCAACGAACGTTGAAACCGCTAAAAAAATGTGAGACAAAGCATAAATTTCCCCCTTTGTCATGCAAATTTTCGTAAACGCACAGTGGAATGTGCCTTATTTCGCTGGACACTTATCGTTCCGTGATTTCTCACTGCAGTTTTTGTTTCAATTTTTCGTTATTTTTTTCTTCATTCATGACTTGGAGAATTCTCTATTAAAAATAGGTGAAATATCTTCAGCCAGCAATCTATTCCGCCAAGCTCACGCTAGAGTTGGGAATATTTCGCTAATACTTCAATAATGAATATTTTTCAAGTTTATCTTAGCTTGAAATTTTTTTTTTATTCTAATTCTTAAAAAAGAAATATATAAATATAAATATATGTAAATATTATATTTATATTTTTTTATCTAAAGATATGAATTATAGTAATTAAAATTTTATCAACAGTTTATTGATTATTAACAGGATAGGCTGTGCATTCATAAATGATATTTATTTATTAACACTAATGACATATCCTATTGCATTGCATGCAAAGAATAGATGAAAAAAAAATCGCTGCAGATTAAGACGTCTGGTATATCGGCGCGCCGATGATATTTCCTCCTGGGGCGTAGTTACACACGAGGTATGTATTGTACCATTCCCCGGGTTTTTTGTATCTCGTGAGACCGCAGCCAAGCTGAGTGGTACCGGCCCAGACGAGCTGGGTGTAGTGGCCGGTGTCTTCTGAAAATCTGAGCACGAAAGCATTAGTCGAAGCCGAAAGCTCTGACTTCGCTTCAGACACTCACTGATAAGCTGAGACAATGTTTCTGTCGACATTGTCCACTTCGTTGTACCAACTATCCACCATTCCAGTGATACTGTCGTAGTGGAATTGGTCACTCCAAGACACTGATGCAATATTCTGTCCAACATAATCGTCAGCTGAAATCACGAGCATGCGATGAAATCACGAAAATTCTTCAGTTGAGAACGGAAAATGTATGGACTGAGGGGATGATTAATACTCGCCTGTGTTTCGGCAATTGTCGTGACCGAAATTACATTGATTGGCCCATCGCTGTGCAATTTCCGCTATTTCGTCATTCCATTCCTACGAATAAAAGCAGTGGCTCCTTTATTTTTAGATTTACATTTAAAATGCATGAAAATGTTCTCATCGAATGCCAACTCTATTGCGTAAAGAATTACTTGAGCGAAAAGTTCGAGGACAATTATTTTTTTATCGAAACAAGCTCAGCAGTGCAAGTTTTTTTGCGGAAAAATTATCATTTATGAATTTTTTTTGAATATTTATTTATGTTGCGAACGCGGAATTTCCGATCCGAGGCAGTAGACAAGGAGAATCTTAGGGTAGGTTGGGGTAAATTAATAATAGGCTGAAATGTTGATGAAATTTAATTTTTTTTAAATGCAAAGAACAATTATTTCCCTTCGTAATGAGCCTAAACTGAGCTCAATTGATAAATTTGTTCCTGAGTTATGAGTAATTGAAAAAAAAGTCTAAAGTGCCCGTTTTACCCCACCCTCCCCTATAGAATTTCGCGTGGAAACAAATTTATGCCTGAAAGGGATTCATTTTTTTTCATTTCAATTAAAAAAAACGAATAAAAATACACGAGAAAAAAATATGAAAAATTTATGGCTCATGAATTTGCATATAACAATAAAAATCTATCGACTTTTCTGTTGAACATCCATGCCAGACAGCAATGCAATTCATCAATAGAGGTTCGATAGAAATTTAATAGGATTTCATAACAAAGTACTAGGGTTTTGAAATCTTCAAATTCAGATCAATTATAATAATTACCAGGGGTCCAAGATTTGTGGCACCTGGTTGGCCACCATTACTGCCTCTTCCTTCCTGACCGCTGGCAACGTAAGCTCGGTAATCATTGTGTGCCTTGAGCAGAGCGTCTTTCTCTTCCTGGGTCAAACCCACAACCCCCAATTCACCACACGAACTGTCGGGGTCAGGTGACTATGACGCAAATTAGGTAGTTAAATCAACGATAGAAAAAAAGATTTGATTTTCAGGGACATGCCACTGATTTTTGGAAACATGCCACTAATTTTCAGGAACACACGCACGAAAAATTTTAATAGACAAATCTAGCAAATTCGTTGGAAAATTCTATTGGATTTCTATGGAACTTATTAGCTCTTGGCCGATTCTATTGAGCTGTTCAATAGAAAAAGTCAATAGAATTCGATTTTTCTATATAACTTATTCTATTCAGATATTTTCTATACAATTTCCTCGGCACAAATTTCCTACTTTTTTTCCTCTCATCAAGAAAATCAAACAAAAAAAATGGAAAAATTTGAGGCGAGAAAATTCTATAGAAAATATCCCAATAGAATAATTTGTATAGAAAAATCGAACTCCTTTGACTATTTATTATCCTATTTATTGAATTTTACTTCACTCCCAGATGTCGTTTCGAAACGTAATTTTGAGGTTTTTTTCTCGTAATTTTTATTGAATATTTCTCTCCGTGCGTGCATCCCTACTAATTTTCAGAGTAATGTCATTGATTTCCAGGGACCCATCCTTAATTTTTCGAAATCTACCATCAAATTTCTGAAAATCAGTGACATGTCCCTGAAAATCGAAAACTTGTGTTCTCTGCGCCCGTTTTTATTCGAAAAAAATTGCACTGCTTACAGGGTGTGCGCATAACGTGTGTACATTATCGCCACAAGATTGCAGATCACAGAACTTTGGTTCCTGCCCAACGACGAATGCTATGCAGCACAACAGCACCACTTGACTCAATTTTTTCCCCATTGTCAGACTGTATACTGGGAAAAATCGGCAGGCAGGCGATATTTAAACATTTGGTGGCATGTTCTCGAACAATTCTTCGAGAGATAATTGACAGGAAGGAAAGTGCGGCTAGCAATATCATTTGCAATAATAATTTTGCTATTAAAATGCATTCAATTGTTTGAGTTATAGTTCTGAGCGTTCCAGGAGAATTTTTCCTGTTACATTTTTGCATGGGAATGTCATCATCGTGTTTCCACGAGTCGTTTCTGATAAGGGAATGCATTTTCAGATGAATTATCGATGGATTGAAAATTTGAAATGTCTTGCTACACTGTTAGAAAAAAATTGAAATTTCACGGCCTGTTGACTAGTAATTTTTAGGAGAGTGACATTGAATTCGATTTAGGGAACGAAAATTACGAAATTTCAGACTTCACTGAAAATTCAATGAAATTCCGCATTTTCCAGCAGCAGGGAGATGAAAACTTACCTAAATTCGGAAATTTTCAAAATAAAGTATTCAAATAAAAAATAAAGTAACAATCAAAATTCAAATAAATGATAAAATATTGCTAAAAATAAAATATTTAATACCGAATTGGGCAAAAATTTTAGCACTATAAAAGAGCAACGAGAAATTAACAGGAGGAGGTAGTAAAAAATTACCAAATGGTGTTCAGTAAAAATTCCCCGAAAATACGGGAAAATTTATCCGCCTTTCTGGCACTTTTCCACTTGAGGGTTAAGAATACGTTCGACTGAACTTCCTGTCTTATATGAATTCCGATGGAATAATTAAACTAACTAACATGTGCAGTTTCCACTGATTTTCCGTAAAATTCGGAATTGTCAATGACGAAATTTCCTGAAAATTCGCCACGATCTCAAGAGTGAGCCGCCCCTTGCACAATTCCAGCACAGCGTGTTGAATTAATTTTCCGAAGAGGTGGGAGTTATCGGGAGTGACTAACTCCACTCCTGATAACGCGTTATTCCGTGAACCAATTCCAGCCCAGGCTGATTCATTGAGAAAATGGAACTAGTCAAACCCACGCGACGGGGGCTAATCTTTATGAGATCGGGGGGTTCGAAAAGCAAACGATAAACGGAAAAAAGTTGCAGGTGGCTGTATCTTTACTGCAACCGTCATTTTACATGGATACGTCTTCATTTTTTTTTTAAACCGTGGTATTTTTGCAAGGTTTTGGAAATTTTTTCCAATATAATAGAAAATTCGCACTTCTATTTTTCCAAAACTCATTAAATTTCTGGGATTCTCCAGAAGGTTTACGAATTTTCCAAAAAATTCTGAGATTTTCCAAAAGTTTTTGTGTTGATTCCTGCAGTTTGCAAGACACGTACGAAAAAATGTCATCGAAAAACTTGCGAAATTCGCTAAACAGTTCTATTGGATTTCTATTAAACTTTCTATACAATTTCCTGGGCTCAAAATTTTACATCTACGGAAGTCATAAAAAATACTTCCATGAAAGACACTCCAATAGATTAGCAATTATCTAATTAACAATAACTATATAATAAGATAATTATTATTATAAATTAATAATAATTAAGAGCAATCCAGAATTTTCTAGAATTCCGATAGATGGCGCTGTGGCATGAAGGCTTTCCCCAAAATGCCCCCCTCCCCCCCCCCACAATGAACATGATAAATCAAATATTTTTTGCAGAACTATTTATTTTTAACAAATCATACACCCAACAAATACGGACAAATGAACCGCAAATATTCTGCTTTCTCGTACGAATATTTCCGACTTGTCCCTCAAGAGGATGAAATACCCTGAATGTGACTTCACCCTCGTCTGCAGATGGTTGACTCCTCATTATTTTTGACGTGGGATGTTGAATACGACATATTGAATTACAATAACAGAGAAAAGCGGAAGAAAAGCGCTGCCTTTTTTGCGTAATATGTCGTGGCCTGTAATTAATCCGTTTTATATAACGGCCAATCTTGGAGAACTCCTGTCGGGCCGTAGTTGCAGACGAGGAACAGCTCCGGCCACATATCGGGATTGTACTGGGTCGGCTTATTTCTGGTGTATTTGGTGATGCCGCATCCGATCCGCTTGGTATCGGCCCAGACCATCTGAACGTAATGGTAAAGTTTGACTCCTGGGGGTTTTGGCCTAGATGCGGATGGATTGGTCAGTAGTTCTCAAATATAAATTTTTTTATTTTATTGTAACGAGGCGAATTGTAAGTGACACACGTACACGCATGAAAAAATTTAATAGACAACCCTAGCGAATTCACTAGACAATTCTATTGGATTTCTATTGAATGATTCTATTAGTTTTTGGCCGATTCTATTCAGTAGCGAAGCGGTAAACCGGGTCAAGTCGATTTTTACAATTGGCTAGTTTTTGACGAATATCTCGGAATCTAAAAGAGATAGAAAGATTTTTGTCATCACCTTTTTTGTAGAGCCAATAGAGCGTTATACAAAAAGTTATGAGAAAAATTTTGCTATCTCTCTTAGATTCCGAGATATTCAGCAAAAACTGGCTAATAGTCAGAATCGACTTAACTCGGTTTACCGCTTCACGACTGTATTGAAATGTTCAATAGAAAATATTTTACAGAAAAAGCCAAACGAATTCGATTTTTCTATACAACTTATTCCATTGAGATATTTTCTATGGAACTTCCTCGGCTCAAATTTACCGAGTTTTTTTGTTTGATTTTCTTGATGAAAAGGAACAAAAATAGAACACAGATCGGCATCAATCATTACATTAGTAATATTATGAGAAGATATTGAAATCGTAATTGAAATTTGAAAAATAATGTAATAATTGGTAAATTAATTTTTCAGTTATTGGTTGGTAAAATAATTCGGAATTTGAATATTTAAATTGCTGGTTATTTTTATAATTAAAAAATTAGTGAGAAATATCGACAATCGACTTATTCGAAATTTAACTGTAATTCAAAATTCCGATTATGCCGATGTCTCAAATAGAATGAAAACACTCTGAAAATTTGAGCCCAGGAAATTCGATACGATTTCTCGGGGAAATCGCTAGGTTTTTTAATTGAAAATAAAAGCTTCTTTAAATTCACTTAATTTGGGGTACTCACTGGAGGGCTGAGACAGTATTAGCGTCGAAGTGCTCCACTTCATTATACCAATTGTCAACCAGGTCTCTTATTACATTCGGATGGTAGCCATCGCTCCAAGCGCCCCAATTGAGATTTTGGCCCACCCACTCAGTATCTAGATAAAGTACAAGAACTTACAGAATACTGCAGAGGAAACAATCAGATTATGCGTTAAATGTAGACATTCACATGTGTCGTGGCACGCATCATGCACATCGTTGCACTGATTAGCCCATCTCTGCGCTATGAAAGCCAATTCGTCGTCCCATTCCTGGAGAATAAAAATAATTTGAAGTGAATTGTAAAATTCTCAAAATTTTTGGTGATTTTATTCTCTTCTATTCTGCCAAGTGATGCATTGAGGAAAAATTATTCTTGAAATAACAAAATGGTTTTGTTTTCGTGATGTAGTAATAATCTCGGAATTTAATTACCAAATCCCCCATGTTAGTGGCAGCGGGCTGAGGTCCAGGATTTCCCCTCGTCTCTTTTCCAGCAGCAACGTAACGTCTCCAGTGATTGTGTCTGTCGACAATGGTTTTCTTCTCCTCCTCAGTCACCCCTATCTGCTCAAGCTGACCGCATTCCTCCGAAGGCTCCTCCGACTGAAGAATCAAGGTTCATGGGAATAATGAAGAAAATATTTTTACAGATATTTATTTTCCATGACCGAGCGAAAATCCCGATTCACCGGATTATGCGAATAAGAAAAAACTAAGGAGTTGAGCGCATTGTGACGTTACAGTGCAAATCTTTCCATTCACCTATAAGTTTTTCATTTTGCATTGTTCATCGGAATAAAAAAGTATGTGTCTAATATTTTTGTCTCGATTTTCACGTCCAACAGTAGAAAAATTTCATGCAAAACCTCAATTTGCTTCATTGCATCATTAGAAAAAAAGTTTCACGTACGAAAAAATTTAACAGAAAATTCTATTGGATTTCTGTTGAACTTCCTATTAGTTTTTAGCTGATTCTATTCAGATATTTTCTATAGAAATTGCAGGGTTCAAATTTTTTAATTTCTTTTTAATAGAGAAAAAAACAAAATCAAGTGAAAAAAACTTGGAAAATTCATGTCGAGGATTTCCTACAGAAAAAGATGTATTAAAAAATTAAATTCTCCTGATTTTTTCGATAAAAGTTTCTACTAAAAAACGAGCGGACAAAATCGGCCGGAATGTCATAAACTGTTGGAATTTGTCTCTTGAGATTTTTTCTATTAGAAATTATTGGGCACAAATATTCCCTGTTTTTTCCACTGGATTTCGTTTTATTTTACATTACAGAATCCAAGTGGAAAAAACTTAGAAGACTAATGCCCAAGAATTTTTATAGAAAAAAACTCAAGAGAAAATTCCAAACAGAAAATCGAAATCTATTGACTTTTTCTTATCGAATATCCAATAGAATCAGCGTAAAAAACAAATAGGATTTTTCAATAGAATTCCAATAAAACTTTCTTGCGAATTCGCTAGTTTTTCTATTCAATTTTTTCACGCGTGATGCTTAAATAGAAGAGAAAAATTATCGGAAAAAATGGGTGTATTTCTTTGTGATGCAGACGGCATCGGCAAAAATTATTCGCTGGGTCTGTCTCTCACCGGATATTTGCAGACCGTGTGCGGTCCCTTCATCTTGCAACTCTCCACATCGCAATAGTCCGCTTGACCATTGACGAAGGCACCAACGCTCACCAATAACACAAGAGCGAATGTTGTCAACATTGTTGCTGGAAACTGTGAGGAGTGTGCTCTCGCTCGATGTATTTAAATCCCTAGTGGCATGTTACCGAGCTGTTTATTGCAGGATTACACTATCAAACGGCAGTAAAATTGCACTCGAAACTGCATTCTTATCGAATATATTCGTCACTTGTGGTACTAAAATTATTTATTTATGATTCTCACGTGTCTTTGATCTATAATTGTGGCACATTGACAGGGTGATTTGCTGTTACGGTGCATTGCAATGAAACAGGTAGTTCATTCCCTGATATTCATTCATTCGCTCCTATTTAGATTATCCACTATCTGCGTTTGCCTGTTTCCTCGATGTTTGCAGGGCAATTCGAGAAATATGAAAATCGGGAGTTATCGATGGGACGAGTGGTCACGAAAGTATTTTCAATGTTGTGAATATTCATGGCTAATATTCTAACTCGCTCTGGTTTTTCCATAATTCATTGCAGTTTTTGCTCATCTTGCGAAGTTCCAATGTACGAGAAAATTTCTTAGTCTTTCATTCGAACTCTGTATTATTTCCAGGAATCGACTACATGAGAACAATTGTTCTCATTTAAATCTCATGTCAATTTAAATTAATTTTGACAATCAACATGATAAACAAGTAAATGAATAAATTTTCATTTAGTTGTTCTCATGAAATTTAATCAAAAAATTGAATAAATTACAAAATCGTCAGTATGAAATTGTAAATGAGACTTTAATCTCCTCGAAGCAAAAACCCCCGCAAATTTATAAAGATTATTTATTTTCCTCTGTCCTCTCATCCCTTAGTCGTTCATTCGGACTCTTCGCCTCTCAAATTCGTAATTAACGATCCATATCCAAAATATTTCCAAAAATCGGTTCAATAAGAAAAAAAAATGACAATTAATGAGATAAACTACTAAATGAATAAATATTTCCATCATTTTTTTACGCCCCAAAAATATCCTTTTCAATTTTTTAAAAATTCCCTCACGAAATTTAATCGAAAAATTGAATGAATTACAATATGGTCAGTATGAAATTGTAGATGAGACTTGAATCTCTTAAAAGCAAAAATCCCCTCAATTTGATAGAGATCATCTATTTCCGTGCGCTCTCGTCCCTTAGTCGTTCATTCGGACTCTTTTCCTCTCAAATTCGTAATTAACGATCCATATCCAAAATATTTCCAGAAATCGGTTCAATAAGGAAAAAAAAATGACAATTAATGAGATAAACTACTAAATGAATAAATATTTCCATCATTTTTTTACGCCCCAAAAATATCCTTTTCAATTTTTTAAAAATTCCCTCACGAAATTTAATCGAAAAATTGAATGAATTACAATATGGTCAGTATGAAATTGTAGATGAGACTTGAATCTCTTAAAAGCAAAAATCCCCTCAATTTGATAGAGATCATCTATTTCCGTGCGCTCTCGTCCCTTAGTCGT